GTGTGTGTGTGTGTGTGTGTGTGTGTGTGTGTGTGTGTGTGTGTGTGAGACGTGAGTGCAGGTGTCTTCAGAGTCCCGAGGAGGGCACTGTAGCCCTGGAGGTAGAGGTGGTTGTGATCCACCTCCCGTGAGTGCTGGGACCCAAACCTGGATCGTCTGCAAGAGAGGTGTGTGTTCTTAACCACTGAGCCACCTCTCCAGCTGCCCAAACAGCTGATTGCCAAAGTTTGGAAGAGGGACAGAATTATTTAGCTTTCTGGGAACTCTTGAGTGACTGGGAGATAAGCTTTCCCCCTTGTGTAGTTTTGTTGTTTTTGTTTTTTCATGAGCCCGTGAAAAATTGGCCCTTCTTATGTCTTCTTTGAATTCAGATGACTCTCATTTCTTCCGTTAGCCCTTTGATTAGGCTGCTGAAAGGGCTCAGCCCCCAAGCTCTTTCTGGTCAATGCATCTGAAAAGCCCAGAGCTTATCCTCTCCCCGGGATTCTGGGATTCTGTGGAGCAGATGTAATTATCCTGACATATGTAGATGAGGGAACACGGAGGAGTTACACAGCTTGCCCAAGGTCATTCAATTAGCCAATGAACTTTGTCCAAGTCTGCTGACAGATTCAGTGGGCTCCTTCCACCATCCCTGAGGCAGCTAGCCTCCACCAAGCAAAGGCCAATTGCCACAAAGCCACACAGCCAACCCCAGACTCAAAATGGCCTCAGGAAGGACAAGGTCCTTACAAGAACTTCTGAAACTTTAACTATGAGCCTTATATGGAGGTGTGGTCTGTAATCTCAGCAATCTAGAGGATGAGGCAGGAGGATCGTGAGTTCAAAAGAGTAAGTATAGCCTGGGCAACATATAGAGACCCTATCTCAAAAGAGCCAAATGTAGCAGCAGCAACAAAATGCAAATAACAGAAAGGAGAAGGAAGAGGAATAGCAGGAAGAGGAGCAGAAATAAAAGGAGAAGGAAAAGGAAGAGGAAGAAAAAGGAGAAGGAAGAGGAGAAGAAAAGAGAAGGAGGAGAACAAGGATAAGGAGGAGGAAGTGAAGGAGGGGAAGAAAAAGAGGAGGAGCAGGAGGAACAGGAGGAGGAAGAAGAGGGAGCAGAGGGCTAGGGTGACGGTTCTGTGTTTGTTGGGTTAAAGCGCATGCTGTAGAGCATGAGGACCTGAGTTGGATCCCTAGCGCCCACATGAAAGCTGGGTACGTAACAAGTGTAACCTGCAGAGGCAGGCGGGACTCCCTGGCAGCCGGTCTCACCGAAACAGTGAGCTGCAGGTGCACTGAGAGATCCCGTCTCACAAAATCAGAAATGGGTAGAGGAGATGCCCACCACTGACGTCTGGTTTCCACTGGCACACACGCTTTCACGTTTCACATGTGCCTACGCATACATGTGTACACGCCCCTAACCCCTACACACAAAAGAAGAATGAAAGGAGGAAGAAGAGGAAACGAAAACATAAAGCAGAGTTACAGAAGCCACAGTATCTTCCCCAAGCTGACCTATTAGCTGAATGTTTTACACTTGGGATCGAGGGTGCCTCTTGTCCTGCGGAGGACAACTCTGTAACTCTGGGGCATATGGAGGCACCCAGGAAGACACCCACCTCCTTCAAACTCTGTCTGGCAGTTCCCCGAGGTCTCGTTCAAACTCTCTTCCTCATTGATGATGATGTTTTCAATGTCCTTCATCGTTAAGTGATCCCGGAAGGCATGGTACAGGATATGCTTCAGCTCTTCCAGAGTGACCCTCTGCATGTCAAACTGTGGAGAGAGAGGACATGAAGAGGGCTGTGAAAACGAGATGCTGAGCTCAGCTGGGGTGCCGTCAGCACACCCCAAAGCTCCTTTAAGAAACGTTCAGCTTCCGGGGGGGCAGATGAGCAGTTTGCCACCCTGCTCAGCTGCAGGCATAGATGTGGTCTCCTTGGGGGTGCAAGTGAGTGAAATACAGCCTCTGATTCAGGAGACAAAGAAGGGAAACCTCTTGCTAGTTGGGTTGATCATCACCCAGCCATCTGCCACCAACTTTCCACATAGTATGGCAGCATACTTCAGAGAGTCCACATGTTTCTAAAAGTCTGTCATTTTGCAAGAAACTGGTAACACTCATCCTGTGTTTCCACTTTGAACAATGCACATGTTTCAAAAAAAAAAAAAAAAAAAAGCTCTCCTAAGGGAGCCATTCTGATTTTGCTTTCATTATGATACATGTCTATTGCAGTTTGAATGTGGTCTCTCCTTGCTGCCCACCCCACCTCATACTCAGTGGTGTGGTGTTGAGGTAGAAACTTTAAAGAAGTGGATCCTGGGGCTAGAGAGATGGCTCCATGGTTAAGAACGTGTTCTGTTTTTTTCAGAGGACCTGAGTTTGGTTCCCAACATCTATGTTGAGCGGCTCACAACTGCCAGGAACTTGAGCCAAAGGGGATCAGACTCTCTCTTCTGATCTCTGAGGTCTCCTACATGTACATGGCACACATACATATATTCAGAACCAAACACATGCACAGATAATTTAAACATACGTATTTTTTAAAAAAGAGATGGAACCTGGTAGCTGGTTAGGTCACCGAAGGTGTTGGTTGCTCTTGAAGGGTGCCTCAGTTCCAAGGTAGATCTTAGTAATTCCCTTTTCTAGTTGTGTGTGTGTCTGTGTGTGTGTGTGTGTGTGTGTGTGTGTGTACATCGGTGCACACCCCTGTGGAGGCCTAAAGTTGATGTCTGAAGCCATCCTCCATTGCTTTTCCACTTGATTCACTGAGGCAGGATCTCTCAGTTAAACTCAGAGCTTACCAACATGGCTAGTCCTTCTAGCTAGCCAGCTTGCCAGATCACCTGTCTCCTCATTCCAAAGTCAGAATTACAGGTGTGTTGCCATGCCAACTGGGCATATCCTTGGGTTCTGAGGATTTGAACTCTGCTCTTCATTGCTTACATGGCTTAACCGCTGAGAAATCTCCCCAGCTCCACTGGTATAATGTTGTAAAAGCCTGATCCCTGGGCCGTTTTCTCACTGTGTCTTACCATGTGATTTCTCCTGCATGTTTTCCTGTCATTGTGATGGAATATGCCGTAAGGCCTTCGTTACAGTAGCCCATCCGACACCAAAAGCAAGTCTTCTTCTCTCCTCCCTGTCTTTTCAAACATTCGAGAAGTGTGCACTTCATTCTAGGGAATTAAAGTGAGTTACTAAAACTTGTTGGGAAATTCGAGAAGGTTCCGGTTTGAAAGCCCTGTGTGAGTCAGAGTAACAGATGGGCATTCATATCTTGGATGTGTTTTCTGCATTATAGCTTAGTGACTACGAGGGTGAATTTGACACAAAGCTGGGTACAATGGCTCTTCACACTGGATAAATGAGGAGTGTTAGCAACCTGTGCGCAGTAATGGGACATAAAGAACGCAGAGGAGAATAATTCTGGTACAAAAATTGGGATCCTGTCCTAGCTAAGTTTAACTGTCAATTTGACACAACTTAGAGTCACCTGAGAAGGGAATCCCAGTTGAGGGCATGCTGAGTGTTGGGAACAAAGCCCTGGGACCCTTCCTAAGGGCCTGACCTGCCGGATAAGCACCGGACGCCAGCAGGCCATAGCTTCTTACGACCCATTGTTCCCAAAACTGTTTGCTTTGGGACACATCCGTGACCACCGATGTGACCACTGATGTTATCTTCAGGCCTTGTAACTCTTTAACCCACCTTCTTAGCCTTGGGAACTTCCCACCAAGGATCTTGGTATTTTTCCACTACTACTTCCCTTTCTCGCCCCTCTCCCCTACCCTGCCAAAACCACGTTTTAAAAGAAACACCAAAGTTCAATAAAGCTGACACTTGACCGCAACCGTCTGCTTGTGTCCTTTCTCTCTCTCCCCCATCTTTTTCAGGATTGACCCCCTTCACCCCCACGAATAACTAAGTCCCTCAGGATGGGACAGCTGAGAGCAGATTGGCCTGAAGGCACACCTGTGGGGGATGTTCTTGTTTGTTAATTGATGTCTGTAGGGGTGAAGACCACCCTGGCTGGTACCATTCCATGGATAGGTGGCCTTGGGCTGCGTAAGAAAGCTGGTTGAGCCTGTGAATAAGCCAGGAGACAGCACTCCTTCATGACTTCTACCTCCAGGTTCCCGTTTTGAGTTCCTGCCCTGACTTTCCTTAATGAATGATGGTGGCCTGGAAGTGGGGCCAGATAAACCCTTTCCTAGCCAAGCTGCTTTTGGTCCAAGTGTTTTATCACAGGAACATAATAAAGCCAGAACAGCTTCTCTGCCATGGTCAGAGATGAGTAGTTGACGTCAAACAGATTCTTTAGGGGGAAAAATGAGTCACTACTTCTTGGAAGACCAATATAAAAGGTGGAATGCTGCCTGGAAAAAATTTATACCACGTTAAGAGATTTTTGCCATTCAGAAACCAGGTAAAAAAAATCCCAGAGACTAGGGGAAGGGAACTGAAGATACAGAGTCTCTGGCTCCATTGTTTTGGCTATCTGATTCTCACAGTCATTAGAATATACTGTAATGTGCCTGGCTTTAGTCCCAGCAGCGGGGTAGGGGTGAGGCAGAGGCAAGCAGACCTCTGAGTTCAAGATCCTGGTCTATACATTGAGTTCCAGGGTGTGTGTGTGTGTGTGTGTGTGTGTGTGCGCGCACGAGCGCCGGGAGGTGGTGGTGGGGTAGATGTACTGTGGCTTGTGGATTAATGCAGATTGCCTCAGTATCCCAGAGGCAATGGGTGGAAGACGTGGTCCCTAGTTAGTTGTGCTGTTAGAAAAAGACTGGATCATGAAGGTGCTGACTTTATCAGTGGATTAATCCATTAATGAGTCCATAGCTGAATGGGTGGTTAGGAGGCAGGTCCTGATTGGCAGGTTACTGAGAGTGTGTCTTTGAAGACCTTAGACTCCTCTCTTTCTCTCTCTCTCTCTCTCTCTCTCTCTCTCTCTCTCTCTCTCTCTCTTTCTGTTATCATGAGGTGAGCAGTTCTCATCTGCCACTCTCTTCTAGGATCACCTCAGCTCATATAGACACACTCAGGGGACCATGAACTGATTGTCTTCAACCTTGAGCTCAGACAAAGCCTCCTCCTTACAGCAACATCTCTTGACTGTTTTGTCTCAGTGACACATGGCTGTCTAACATGGGGTACTAACACCTAAACAAACCCAGCTGGGCAACTGGGTTCCATATGTCGTCTATATTGTCAGGGTACCTGTCTCTTAAAGTTCTGAATGAAATCACTATAAAATAGGGACATGCTACCAATAGGTACTTCTCCCATGATGACCCATCAATTCAGCTTTCATAGTTGTCTTGAGTTACTTTTAGAATTTAGTGCTATTTTTAGAGAACTGTCCACAAGCCTCTCATTATTTTTAGCATGTAATTATGCACAGTAGACCCACATTTAAAAATTTCTCTCAAGACTGACTGTGCCACAGCGGCTGTGGATGTTGCACAGTTGGTAGAGCCCTCACATAGCACACACAAATCCCTGGTTCTGCGTCAGCACTACATAAATCATGGGTGCTGGCCTGTGCCGATAATACTGGCACTGGAGAGGCAGGGACAGGAGCTCAAGACCACACAGTAGAGGCAGGAGGATACCTAGGACTTTCTGGCTGGCTAGCCTAGTCTTCTTAGTGAGCTTCAAGCTAGTGAGAAAAACCTCTCTGAAAAAAAAAAATCAAGGTGGATGGTGTTCCTGAGGAAGAAGAGAGGAAATCCTTTCATCTAAACACACACACACACACACACACACACACACACACACACACACAAGCAAGCTTGTCCACTGGACACAGGCGAGGGTCATCTGAGTTGTCTGAGAGGAAAGCCTGGATTGAGGAATCACCTGGTCAGACTGACTCGTGGGCTTATCTGCAGGGACCGTCCTGGTTCTTAGTTGATGGTGTCACTGTGGGCGGCACCACTCCCTGCACTAAAAAGCAGTTAGCGGAGTGTGAGCCTCGCAGCAAGCAGCATCCTCCGTGCTTCTTGCCTCCAGATTTCTAGTCTTGAGTTCCTACCCTGATTTTCCTCAATGACGGACTATGACCTGGAAGTATAAGCTAAAACAAGCCTTTCCCTCCTGTGAATTAGTAGCTTTTTGTCCGAGTGTTTTCATCACAGCAGCGGAAGGCAAACTAGAACACACTAGGATCAGGAGGAGAGAAAGAGATGGTGAGAACGGGCGTTCCAAGACCCATGGCGTAGAAGCATGGGCATGTCCACTGACTGGGAAAACCTAGGTCCAAGTGTTAAAGGTGTGGTCTTCCGCCTGTCATGTTACTGGGCAGCGCGGGAATATTTCAAGAGGAAGAGTAAGCTAGGAAGTCCTCTGGTTACTTCAAGAGAATTGCACCCACTTTAAGAAAACTGCAGAATTCTAGTCTCTTTCTTTGCCTTGTCTTTGTGACTGCAGGTGGGTATTTTATACCAGTACACAGTCTCTACCAGCTGATGTCCCTCAACCAGAAACGTACTAAAAGCTATTACATTTGCCTTAGAGGCCACGGAGGATAGACCTGACTGTCTAAGTCCATTCCTGGGGTAACATCACAAAGGTAAACAGCAGACTTCCTCCTATTTAGGGTCTGTCTATCTATCTATCTATCTATCTATCTATCTATCTATCTATCTATCTATCTATCTTTTGAGACAGGGTTTCTCTGTGTAGCCCTGGCTGTGAGTCCTGGACTCACTTTGTAGACCAGGTTGGCCTTGAACTCACTGAGATCTGACTGCCTCTGCCTCCACAA